GGCCCTGGACAGCTTTGAAATGACATTTCCTTTTAAAACATCCATCACCAGGACTGTGCCCCTGCGGCTCTGACCGCTCCCCTAACTTCTGCCAAGCCCCATGGAAAGTCCAAGAGTGCCTCCTTAGACTGAATGAATACAAGTCTATGGGGCCAGATGGCGTGCATCCCAGGGTCCTGAAGGAGCTGGCTGAGGTGGTTGCCGAGCCGCTCTCCATCATATTTGAGAAGTCGTGGCTGTCAGGTGAGGTCCCGGATGACTGGAGGAAGGGTCACGTCACTCCCATATACAAGAAGGGGAGCAGGGAGGACCCGGGGAACTACAGGCCAGTGAGTCTCACCTCCGTGCCTGGGAAGATCATGGAACAGATCCTCCTGGACAACATGCTCGATCACATAAAGCATGAGCATGTGATCCGAGACAGCCAGCACGGCTTCACCAAAGGAAGGTCATGCCTAACTAATCTTGTGGCCTTCTATGATGGAGTGACGGCATTGGTGGACGAAGGGAAGGCGACCGATGTCATTTACCTGGACCTGAGCAAGGCCTTTGACATGGTCCCCCACCACATCCTCATCTCCAAATTGGAGGGAAGTGGATTTGATGGGTGGACGACCCGATGGATAAGCAATTGGTTGAAAGGCCGCAGACAGAGGGTGGTGGTCAATGGCTCTGTGTCCAGGTGGAGGCCGGTAACAAGTGGTGTCCCCCAAGGGTCTGTCTTGGGACCGGTGCTCTTTAACATCTTTATTAATGACATCGATGAGGGAATTGAGTGCACCCTCAGCAAGTTTGCTGACGACACCAAGCTGAGTGGTGCAGTTGATACGGTGGAAGGAAGGGATGCCATTCAGAGGGACCTCGACAGGCTGGAGGGCTGGGCTCGGGTGAACCTAATGAGGTTCAACACGGCAAAGTGCAAGGTTTTGCATTTGGGCCGGAAGAACCCCAGGCACCCGTACAGGCTGGGAGGAGTGGTCCTTGAGAGCAGCTCGGCAGAGAAGGACCTGGGGGTCCTGATGGACGAGAGACTGAACATGAGCCAGCAGTGCGCTCTGGCAGCTCGAAAGGCAAATGGGATCCTGGGCTCCATCAGGAGAGGGGTGGTCAGCAGGGACAGGGAGGTGATTGTCCCTCTCTACTTGGCTCTTGTGAGGCCCCATCTGGAGTACTGTGTCCAGGTGTGGAGCCCTCAGTACAAGAAAGACATTGAGATTTTGGAAAGGGTCCAGAGGAAGGCGACTAAGATGATCAGGGGTCTGGAGCACCTCCCCTATGAGGACAGGCTGAGGGAGTTGGGCTTGTTCAGCCTGGAGAAGAGAAGGCTGCGGGGTGACCTCATTGCAGCCTATCAATACCTGAAGGGAACCTACACCCACGAGGGGAGTAAACTCTTCAAAAGGGCTGACAACAGCAGGACTAGGGGAAATGGATCGAAGTTGAAGGAGGGAAGATTTAGGTTGGATGTTAGGGGGAAGTTCTTTACAAGGAGAGTGGTTAGGCCCTGGAACGGGCTGCCCAGGGAGGTTGTGGATGCCCCGTCCTTGGACGTGTTCAAGGCCAGGTTGGACGGGGTCCTGGGCAACCTGATCTGAATGTGTGTGTTTGGTGGCCCTGCTAGGCAGGGGGGTTGGAACTACATGATCCTTGAGGTCCCTTCCAACCCGGGTGATTCTGTGATTCTGTGATTCTGTGAAAGGTCATTGGGGTGGGCAGGCGAGTGCAGGTGTGGGGGCTGAGATCTGGGGCGCTGCACCACGTAAGGATTTGAGGACACGTTTGAGCCTGACGTGGAGCAGCAGCAAGGAGAGGATCTCTGGGTTAAGCACACAGCATCCCACCAGGTGTGGGCAGCTCCCCAGCATTTGTCTCTGAGCTCGTGGTCCCAGCCCTGCAGCTGAGCCCTGAGTGTGATGTGCACAGAGGTGTGAGGCAGAGGGGCCTTCAGGATCGGCGAGGGGGAAGGCATGCACTTAAATGAGTTTTTCCCTGTAACACGTGTCCTGACCTTTTTAAAAAAATGAAATCTATTTTATTAATATTTTTTTTTCTTTTTATCACATTCGGCCGTGCAACATTTAAGATACGACTGTGGAAAAGGTCAAGAAACGTGTAGTTGTTGAAATCTTGTTCCAGCTGATGGCTTTTCCCTTCGGGGAGCTCTCCCGCTCCTACTCCCCCAGTCTGGTTTTTAAACAGCAAGTCTCAGGCCTCCCTGCTCCCTGGGTGTAGCAGCAGGTTGAAGGAGGGAAGGCCCCTGCAGTCCCAGCAGTGGAGCTGCAGGACGATGCCAGGGGCAACGTTTCAGGCACAATGAATAAAGACCCGGGAGAGGGGTAGGTGGCTGCTCTTTGTGAAGCTGGAATGTCCTGCTCCCACACCCCACAGCCTGGCTCCATCCCTCGGGCTGCTGGGGAGGACAAAGGCAAAGCTGTCATACAGGTGGCTGCTGAGTTTGCAGGATCTGCCAGTCCCTTCTCCATGCTGTCTCAGTGCATTTTTCACCCACCTTCCGTGCTTTTTCCTGGGTGTGGATTTTCCTGGCGTGACGGGAATACGACCATCACCAGTGCTTGGACAGGCAGACTCCAGAAGCTTTTGCTTACATTTCCCCGGTGTCAATTCCTAATAATGGACTTTCAAATGCGGCACGCAGCACTGCAAATTTTTGTGATTCCATTTTGTTTGCAAACCGCTTAATTGGCTGCTCGGCACAAACAGAAAACTCTCACAGTTATTTTGAAAATGCCTCAAAATCCTCCTCAGCACGGTTTAACCAGATGCAAGATGTCAGCAGGCTGACGGCAGCTACAGGCAGTGTGGTGTGCTGGCTGTCCTTCCACACGCGCCAAGCCAAATGCTTCCACTTGTGTGCAGTACAGCCTGGTGCTGGCAGTCAGAGTCCACCCAAAAAGCCACCGGCTTCATCTCAAACACAGCCCGGCTGATGTGCAGCACGTGCCTTAAGACAGCCCACTGCAGATGTGGCTCCATCACCTTCTAGCCCCGGGGATGAGAGAGATTCAGGCTGAAGAGGAGGAGAGATGGGCTCTGGCCACTCCTTTCTCTCCCATGCCATGTGGCTGAAAGAGTTATTGGCAAACAAGTTAGCACTGATAGAAAAATGCTGCGGCACTTTGTGCAGCCGCTCCGTGATCAATACCCGGCTGTGGCTGAGCCGGCTGCTGACTGGATTTCATATGCCTGCTGCTGGGGTAATAAGAGCCCTGGGATCAACTGTCTCGGAGATTATTACAGGATGAGATGCTTCGTTGCTTTACAGTGTTTGCTAAAGATTTATATTCCCTGTGCGCATATAAAGGGAATATCGTCGCTGCCCAACAACCCTGGGCACGTGCAGATGCTGCGCTTTGCCCCATCGTTGCATGGCTGAGTTGCAGTGACGGGGTGAAAGGTGGCATCTGCACGTGCCCTTAATGCCCTGTGGTGAAGCAAGGCTGGAAAAGCTTCCCAGGGCTCCATTGGTTGGAGGACAGGAGCACCACACTGAACGCAGAAGTGGAGGGGCACGGGGTGGGCCGTGCAGTGCCTTGCACACAGCGTGGCTGAAGATGGGATGATTGATCTGCAGCACTTGTAAAATAATGGTTTAATCGTTATTAAGGATTAGAAATAATCCTTGAGCTGTATCGATCCCAATCGCATTATTCATGATGAACTCATTGCGCACAGATGGGAATGCCCTGCAGCCCATCCCTGTCACCACGTTCTGTCCTCCCTGGGGCACGTTGCCACCCTGCTGCCACCTCCTCCATCCCTGTAATGCACTGATTAGCCGAAGAAGAAAAGAACATCTGGATTATTTTTTCTTAAAAACAAAGTTTTGTCCAGATTGACTTTGACAAATTGACGTTTTCCAGAGGAAAAATACATTCCATTGAAGTGCCTGTAGTGGGTACAGCAGACACCAAGTGCACCATTTGCAGCACTCCAGGCACTTCTTGCGAGGCAATGAATAGTTAAAGATGTCCATAAATCTTCCCTGGGCATGCAATAAACAAACACGCTCTTATCAAGTATAGAAAAATGCATATTTCATCACTGCTGCCTTAAGTACAACTCGGAATAAATGCTTGCCCTTAATCAGCCATCTCAGTGCATAAGCGGAGCACGGAATGTCAGGGGGAGGGTGCAGGATTTGGGCCGCAGCTCTGCTAACACCAACCCCCCCCTGGGCAAAACTGCCCCAAAAATGAGCAGACATTTGACTTTTATGTTTGCTATCTCTGATCTTCTCCCAGCGACCCAGGCGGGACGAGTTTCACTGCAGCACCCTGTGGGTTGCTGAACTCCCAACAGATGCTAGCTGTGAAAAGCAGGCACTTAGGCTTGGAAATCAAAATTTCAAGCAATAGAAAAAGGTTAAAGGAGAAAGTTTTGACCAGTGCGGGCTGAGATAGTGCAGTGATGGAATACTCATCTCTGTGCAGCCGATAAGAACAAGCCGTGCTGTCCCCATGGGAAGATGCACGATGGCACTGCACACTCAGTGCTCCCAGTGCTTTGCTGTGCCTGGCGCTCAGCCGAGGTGCTGAGCTGGAGGCACACTGTGCCCAGTGTGAACTGGGGGCTCAACAGGCTGACTGTGCAGGGCCCTCGTGCTTCCATCAGAGCAGTGGGTGCCTGGGGATGTCAGCAGTGGCACGTCTCAGCTGGCTGCATCCCCATGCTGCTGAGCTCTCCAGGGAGCCTTGCTGGGATGCAACAACCTTGCCAGCCTCATGGCTAATTAGCACTGTGCAGTTAGCATCGTTAGGTGCTGCCTCTGCCTGGAGCCTCTTGCTGAAGGGAGGGCGGCTGTGGGGTCCTGGCTGCAGCGGTTGTGTATGCAGAGGGCTGCTAGGCACACAGAGAGGGGATGGAGGCTGTGGGCACAGGGAGCCCCATGGAGCCTCTCTCGACTGCTCACAGCTGGGGCCAGCCATGGCGTGGGCATCACACAGCTTTACACTCACTCTCCCCTCTTGCTCTCTTTGCAGAGGCTGGCGAATGCAGCAGAGAAGTTCCAGAAAGCCCACCACTGGCAGGACAACATCCGGGTAAGGCTCCAGCTCACCATGTGCCGTGGGGACACACGCTGTGACACACCTGTCCCCTCCCTGCTTCCCATCCTTCAGCTCCTCCTTCCTTATCCTTGGTTCCTCATGAATTTTAAAGCTACTGTCATCCCCATCCATAGGCTACGTGGACAAATCCATTCTGAGCTTGTCTGCAGCCGGGTGGGAGTGGGCAGAAGGGGAAGGCTGAACCGAATGAGGCTTTGGATTCTTGCTGAGAGGTTTCTCAGGGTTTCAGGATTGGTTTTTCAGGGCAAGCGCTGGGCAAGGGTAGCGGCTCACGTGCCTGAGGCACCTGACAGCAGTGCCTGGCTGCTGCCGGGGAAGGAGCGAAGATGTTGTTTTAATGATTGCATTTGACTTTGTAATTATGGCAGTGATAACGCTCAGCAGGAATCTGAAGTGTTCTGCCTGGAAATGCTCTCAAATTCTAACAATAATACAAAAGGAAGGAAGGATTGTTTTCCTTCCAGTGCAAATGGAACCTGCAGTAAAAATATCTGAGTCCACCAGCCTCTTCCTCAGAGCCGAGCCAGATCCTGCCCTGCCACCAGGAGCCCACTGCGGTGGTTGAGGGGACAGCCTGGGGACAGCCCCACCTCTGTGGGCATCTCTTGGAGTACAAACATCACTGGCCCCAGGCTGGCAGCCCCAGGGCTCCACATGCAGCTGGTACTGTCCCACAGTGATGGCCTCTCCTTTTCCTCTCTGTTCCCATTCCTGAGGCAATGGCTTGGCTCAGGGTGAGCCTTGGCCTAGGGATGTCACCACTGGGCTGCCTGCCCCTATCCTTCTGTGTGACAAGCCCCTCACATGGACCCAGTGGCATTTACCTCTGAGGGAACCCTCCTCCAGCACTGGCCAGCTGGTCCCTGTGCACCGCTGTCCTGGCTCTACACCTGTCCATGTCCACCTGCAAGGAGGGGTTGGCCATCCTGTAGCTCTTGGCTGCTAAATAGGGCGGTCAGTGGGCTCCACTGGACATGCAGATGGAAACGAAGGAGAGGTGGGGGAGAGAATAGAAACTGAAGCAAATGCTGCTCCTATAGACCCTCCTGCCATGGGTGATGGCAGCACAGATAAACATGGAGAAAAAGGTGAAGGAAGAGCAGAAGAGAAGGCAAGGTGCTGAGCCATGCTTGCCAGGTGATGGGTGCTCCCAGCCTGTCCCTGCCCCATCAGCAGCTGTGTCTGGCTGACACTTGTGTGTGCCGAGCTTCCAGGGGTCTTCAGGAGCGCACCTGCTCAGCTGCAGTGCACTGGGAGTGCTGGCCATTTGCAGAGCAGGGAGAAGGCACTGCAGGGAAAGGAGAGACAGCCATGTCCATGTCCTCTGCCTTCCGTTCACCAATAGAAGCAGCTTTGCTAATGGAAGGTGAGATGAACCCGCTAGCTGTGCCATCCAGCAGACTGCTGTATCCAGTACCAATGGTCACCAAGAGCTTTCTGCGAGTTACTTTCACCCCTTCCCTGGAGATGGGTTGAAGAGGCATCAGGAGGACAGCAAGTGGGGCACAGCGGAATGTCAACCTAGCAGGAAAACCCTCCCTGCACTTCTTCATACAACAGCTCTGTGGGTTCAGCTCACGTTTCCTCGCTTTGCTGTGCCACAGCCAAAATCACTGTCTCCCCTTCTGGAGCCTTCGTGGGCGGGGTGAGAGAGAGCCAGTCCTGGTGGTAACCAGTGTGCAGGAGCAGCTGTGGCGCTGGGAACTCTTGGCTCATTTTGCAGTATGTGGCACAAACCTTTCAGAAACCCACTTTCATTGAAAAATATTTTTAACAGCGCTGTTTGCTACCACTTCATCAAGGTAATTAGAAGCGAGTCACCTGGAAACAATGCGCGGCCATGCGTCACCACGCAGCTTTATCAGGACAGCGCAGAGCTGGGTGGGATGCTGCTGGGATGCTGGGGCCGTGCTGCCAAGTGCAGCTGCCACCTCCTGCCTGTGCTGCCCATGGGGAAGTGCTGGTCCCACCACCCGAGAAGCACCACCAGGATGAGGTGCCAAGGACCACAGTAGCGCCCACAGCATCACCATGCTCCTCTGTCCCACCAGCTGCCGGTCATCCTGGCCGCAGCTCTCCCTTGCTCTCTCCGCGTGTCATTTCGTAACCTCGAGCTGGAGTTTATGACAGATTGCACCGAGCGTGGTTATTTTTGTGTTTCCATCTGAATGCGCGACGGCAGATGCTGAGTGTTTGCAATGCATTAGTGCTAATGGCAGGACCATTAAACATTAGAGTTGCTCACTGCAGATGGGTTGCTATGGAGGTTCAGGGGAAAATGAAACAGGAGCAGAAGCGAGGACGGCTGCGAGGTCGCTCCCAGCGATCACACAGCACTGATCTCTGCCTGGAAAGTTTCTTCTCCCTCACCAGTGCTGGGGTTTTTGGTTCCCATGCCGCACACTGGCGGCGCTTTCTTTCCCGCGTGGCACTGGAAGTGTCTCTGCTCTGATCCATGTACCACCCCTGTAGTCCTGCCCTGTCCTCCATTCCGTGTCATCACACACTTCATCCATTCCAGGGCTGTGTCCTGCAGAGGCTGCCCCCCCCCCGGGATGCACAGAGCATCCTGGGCAGAGCACATGGAGGCTGTTTGGGTCCGAGCAGCAGAACAGCTGTCCCTGTTCCTGTTGCCCTGCCAGTCCTCCCTGGAAGATGTTTCTGGTCCCCAGGTGCACAGTCAGGGCCCCGTGGGGTCTGTGTAGGACGTGCATGTTGTGCTGTCAGAGCTAGGGACTCTGTTCCACAAAGGGGGGCATGGAGCAATGTCCCAGGTGCTGTCCCCATGCTCCAGGTGTCCCCATCCCTGTCCCCAGTACCATGCTGCTGCGCACCAGCTGCCATCCCCTGCTTGCCACATAGCTCAGACAAGAGCCAGGTGCAAAGCATGATGGTAAGAACACCAGCACACCACCTAGCAACTGGCTTTCCCTGTTTCTCCATCCTCATCTCCCTGTTATTCCACCATGCAATCCCAGTGTACATCCCACCATGGGGTCCCCAGCTGGAGCACAGGGCAGGTGATGCATGGCAGTGCAGGGACCACAGCCAGCTCTGCAGAATGGTGACAAAGCCCAGCCTGCACAACACATGTCGAGGCATGGTGTTGCTGAGTTCAGTGTGCTGGGCAGCAGAGCTCTTTGTCCCTTTAAGGGACACTTAGGTGCTGCAGAGTCCCATTTATGTGCGCTTGGCAGGATTATATAAATTGCCTTTAAAAGTTGACTTCTTTATAAGCCATTTTCTGCTTCATAAAATGTTTATTACTGTTGTTTCTCTCCCAGTTTCTCTTCCTCACAGCATTTTTCCCTGCTACATGGGGAAGTTCCCCTCTTCCATATGTTTCGGGCGCAAAGCGCTTCCCTCTGGGTTCCATCTCAAAGATGGGGAAATCATCTTTTGGCAATAACCCCTTCTGGAGCTCTGCGCATGTCCATGTGCTCTGCCCAGGATGCTCTGTGCACCGCACTCACGTTTCTGTTTTGTTCCTGCCTCTGAGCACATGCATTACGGGATGGCCCCCACAGCCAGCCACCACTGCAACAGCCATATTTCCCAAAGAGATTCCTGTGCTGTGCCATGCTGTGGCACAGATGTGGCACGGAGGGCTGCTCTCCATCAATAACTCCCACCTGCAAAAAAGGAAGCAAATAACAAAGCCCAGATAATTTCAAGCTCCATTAGAAATGAAACTCAGGGGAAAACGGGAGCACCGTTCGCCAAATGGGGAAGGACAGAATGAATCACTGAGGCTTCACTCACTGGGGAAGAGCAGAGAAGCCCAGCATGGCAATGTGCGCCTGCAGCCCAGAAGGCCAGCTGTGTTCTGGGCTGCATGAAAAAGGGGCGGCCAGCAGGAGAGGGAGGTGATCGTCCCCCTCTGCTCAGCTCTTGTGAGGCCCCATCTGCAGCGCTGCGTCCAGGCCTGGGGCCCCCAGCACAGGAAGGACGTGGAGCTCTGGGAGCGGGTCCAGAGGAGGCACTGAGATGAGCAGAGGGCTGGAGCCCTCACTGTGGCCTTCCAGTACTTGAAGGGAGCGTAGAAACAGGAGGGGGAATGGCTGTTTATGAGGGTGGATGGTGACAGGACAAGGGGAATGGTGTTAAACTGAGACAGGGGAGGTTTAGGTTGGATATTAGGAGGAAGTTTTTCACTCAGAAGGTGGTGAGGCACAAGGCCAGGCTGGATGTGGCTCTGGGCAGCCTGGTCTGCTGGTTGACGACCCTGCACGTAGCAGGGGGTTGGAACCAGATGAGCATTGTGGTCCTTTGCAACCCGGGCCGTTCTATGGCAGTGGGAAGGCAGTGATGGGAGCACGGTGGCAGGGCTGCAGCAATGGGAGAAGGGCAGTGGGAGCACAGCAGTGGGGCTGTGGCTGGCTGTCCCCAGCCCCTCTCTGCGGCCATGCAGGACCACAGCAGCCTCTGCGGTCAAAGCATCTTCAGAAGGGCAAGCACAAGTTCCTTATCCCCATTTCATTTTTCTCCTCCTTTAATTACAGATCCTACTTATCGGTGGAGAACAGAAAGATCGCCACCGTAACCTTGCACTTGTCCTTGTAGAAGGCTTACCTAAAAAGTTAGAAAATAAAATCAAATACTCTAATTTGCAGTCGTCTTGCTATTTCAAACCCAGTTTTCATTACAGCACAGAAAGTGCATTGAAGCTGTGTTTATAACCCCCTTTTAGATAACAAATCACATTTTCTTTTGGCTGGCGAGTGTGTAGAATTGATATTTTTTTTTTTCAGTTTAATGGGTTTGTGTGTTCAGGAATGATCTCCATCAACTGAGAGTCTTTATTGTGTTTGATATAATGTCAGCTTTCATTACGCTCTGAGAATTACTGTGTTAAAGCACCAACCTTGCTGTAGAGCCATTCTGGACGAAAGTAGAACAAGAAAATCATTCACAAAAACCACAGGGTTGTGCCATTTGCTCTTAGGGGAAGCAGATGTGCCTCTGGGGGCAGCGGGGATGGATTGGGCGAGGGGTGCCATGGGCATCCTGCTGTCCCCCTGCCCCGGGACTGGGTGCCATCAGCAGGGACCATCCGCTCGGTTGGGTGAAGGAGGTGCTGACAGATCACTTAAATATTCCCCCTGCTCTGTCAGAGGGATGGAAGGAGGAAATTGCTTTAAAATATATATATATATATATATGCCTTGGCAGATGATGATGGCTGTCCCTACCTGTCCTTGGTGGGGCTGCTGCCTGCATGGAACACTGTTTGTGGTGCATTCTGCTTCATCCTTTGGGCTGTAATGGGAGGGATTCATCCTGACACACAGCTGTGGGTCATCCTGCATCCCCACACGCTACACTTGGGCTTCTCCGGGAGCTGGGGGCCCCCAGGTGTGTGCTTACCACTGCTGGCAGCACCAACGTGCCTGGCTTGCTGCATGCTGAGGTGCCAATGGGATGCCATCCCTGTCCCATGGTTCCATCCTCCCCCATATTCTGACCCTACTGGGCTGCAGCTCTGCCAGCAGAGTGCTGACCTTTCTAATGTCATTTTCAGAATTGCTGGAACTGTTTGTAGAATCATAGAATGGCCTGGGTTGCAAAGGAGCACAGTGCTCATTGCTCATCCAGTTCCAACCCCCTGCTGTGTGCAGGTCACCAACCAGCAGCCCAGGCTGCCCAGAGCCACATCCAGCCTGGCCTTGAAGGAATGGGGCATCCACAGCCTCCTTGGACAACCTGTTCCAGTGTGTTTAAAAACAAAGACGTATTTCAGTGCCTGCAGAGGCTGGGGAAGGCCCGGGGGGGGGACACAGGGGGCTGGGGTCCCCAGAGGGCATGGGGCAGCTCCATCCAGGAGGGGACCACAGAATTGAAGGGTGTGGTGCTGGTGGGTTCACCAGTTTTTGCGGATTGCTCTGTGATTGGGCTTAACCACCAGGGTAATTTCCACGTGCTGGAAGACTAAAATAACCCTGTGCTTCTCTGGTAATGGTGCTCATGGTGCTGTCACGCAGCTGCACTTAAGTACTTAGTGCTACACCAAGGAGCACCTACCAGTTCAAAGCAGTGCTCTGCCAGTTCACAGCAGCAAATGCTTCTGCACAGGTTCACTTCCAAGAGCCAAGGGCAATGCTGGGCGGGCTCTTGCTCCCAAACCTCTCAACATCTCCACCCACTCGTTTTCTCTATTGGCATTTATTCAGAAAGACAGCAGAAATACCAGCACTATTTACACAGCCCCTGTGCTTGCTTGGGTCAGAGGAGGAGGAGGCAAGGATCAGGTGAAGAGTACAAGTGTGGCTTTAAGAGCAAATGCAAGGGAGAGGAAACTGTAGTACTCCCTGCTCCCTTTTTGAGACCCCGGTGTGGAGCCATGATGATGTCCCACATGTCCCCTGCACACACACCACCCGTGGCATGGAGCATGGACAGAATGACTCCAGCTTCTGACATGGGCAAGTCCCTGATCCTGCACACCAGAGGGGGACAGAGCTTTTTGGAGGAGCTGATGGAAGATAAAATGAATAACAAAGCCCCTTCTGGCTGGCTGTTGTTAGTCACACTCACTTCTGATTAAAGCTCGTTAAACATGAAATTAGCTCCTTTGTGTTACGGGTCTCCAGGGGCTCCTCTCACTGCAGGTGCAGATGGCCACGGGCCAGGGGCATGCTGCTGGTATGGGGCAGGGCTGTGGGGAGAGAAGTATCCAGGGGCAATGTATTATTTTTCCCTTCCCTTGTCGTTGTGAACCCCTCAGCACCTCACAACAAATCACAGATAATAAGTACACTCCCTTAGTGACTGGCTTTTTAATAACAAAAACCAGAAGGTGCTGCGTTGAGTTTTTTGCTCCCCTCTATCAACGTTACCTCATTGCCAGATCTGGGGCAGCTGTGGAGAGGACACGGGGGCCCCCCATGGGCCATCCCCGTGCTGTGAGCAGCGAGCAGTGACAGCCATGCAGGGTGTTCCACCACTGCACCCGCATCGCCGCGTGCACAAGAGAGCCCCGAGCGCCCTTTAATTCCCCCCTGTGCTGGGAGATGAGATGAGATGCTGTTCTGACAGTGTGACGGCTGGCTGCATCGCCTGCCTCTCTCTGAGTGCTATCAGCTGCCTCGCGCCCTAGTGTGCAGGGAGAGGGATCTGAGCAGACCTTCCTGCGTAAATAGCTTTTAAAAACCCCAAATTAAGGCCACAAAGTGAGGATGCTGCTCACCGTTCACCTGCGCAGCCACCTTGCTGCCTGGCTGTGCCACAGCTCCCTCAGTACAACTGCAGCATCCCGGGCATGGGGACACGCTGCATCCCAGTGTCACCCACTGGGTGACTGGCAGCGGAGTGGGCTGTGCGTGGTGAGGGTCTGCGTCCCAGCGCTGCGGTACGAGGAGGGGTACGGGGCAGTGATGGGGACCCCCATCCACGCCTGCCCTCATGCAGCTCTGCTCTCTCTACAGGAGGAAGACATCGAGTACTACGACTCCAAGGCAGACACAGAATTCGTGAGTGCTGTGAGTACTGTGAGTACCACCATCCCTTTGCACCGTGGGTGCACGCGCATTGCTGTGACCCATCCCCAGCCCTGGCCACGCCACGGTGACATCCAGCCCTGGTCCTGCTGGGCAGGTCCCTGTGCGGCTGCTGAAGTTTCTAAAATTAAAGCCGGCATCTGAAATTCAAATGAAGAGCAAATCTTTAATTAGCGACTGAAGCTAATTCTTTGCCCTCTCCCTGAGCAGCCATCCTGTGATTTCTGGCAATCAGGGCTTCAAATCCGCACCGACAGCCCCAGGGGACTGCCGTCACCCCGCGTCACACCAAGCTGCTGGCACGCAGGGAGCTTTGTGCCACAGCCCAGTGCAGGGCTGTGCTGTCCCTGCATGTGGGGAAAGGCACGGGGCAGGATGCTGCCCACCCTGCCAGCAGCACTCCTGCACTTATGCCATCGCTGCCACCCAGCATGACCCTGGCAAATTTCATTCTGGCAAAAAATAACGGAGGGAGAAGAAGGTGATGTTGAAATAAAGAAGGGGGAAGATGATACTGGTGGGTCTGAACCTCACTAAATAGCGGTCTTTCTGTCTTTTCTTTTATTTTGCTTCAATTTTTATATTTAAATTGAGCAGGATCTCGCTGAAATGAAGTTGGTTCTGATAGACAATGCCTATTCAATGTAACCAGGACTTATTCACCAGCCTCATACTGGGTTTAAGGAGGGAGAGAAAGAAATGAGCTTCCTTTTCATTCTGCTTGCACTCGGCTCTGCTATCTCCCTAAGCAGATTTTGGATTTCAGAGTGGGCTTTAGCAGCTGGGCCGCCGGCACGTGTTCCTGGGGGACCACAGGGCTCTCCGCGTGCCTGCAGGAGCAGCGCTCCTCACTCCCTGCCACCAAGGGCCGGGGAGGGGAGTTTGTCCTCAGGGCCGCACTCAGGGCAGCACCCGCTCTGGGCTGGGCGCTGTACACGGAGCGCAGGAGTGCAGAGGTTTGCGGCTGCGTGTGCCAGGGGGTGGTGCTCAATTGAGGGCCTGGGTCAGGATGTGCAGGGCCGTGTTGCTCTCCCGGGGGATGGTTTCCCAGGCAGTGAAGTGGGGTTTAGCTGTGGCTGCAGAGATCCTGGAATCACGCATTCATTCGAGTTGGAAGGGACCGTTGAAGGCCATGTGGTTGCACTCCCCTGCAATGAGCAAGGACACCCACGGCTTCGTCAGGTTCTCAGAGCCCCATCCAGCCTGACCTTGGGTGTCTCCAGGGATGGGGCACCACTACTTCTCTGGGCAGATGTCCCCACAGCACGGCAGCATCAGTCCTTGGGGATGTCCTTGTCCCCATCGCTGCAGGACCACTGTGCCTCCAAGAGTGAAGCTGGTTGCCACAACAGCCCCACTGAGAGGTGGCAGGGCTGGAGCGGGTCTTTGCTAGGGACACCCAAGTGGCCTAGAGTCGTTCCCATGCTGAGAGGTGCAGGTTTGCACCAGCTGAACTTATCCGTGAGCCAGATTCTGCGCTTCCAGCTTCACAAAAGGCACAGAAAAGCAATTAGGAGTCAGATTGTTTCCTCTTGTCATCTTCCAAACAAAATGCTTCTATTTCAGTGTCACAATCCGGTCTGCTGGTGTGAGTAGATGCAGAGCTGCCAAAGCAGAGGAGGTAGGGCAGGGGGAGAACTGCTTGCCCTGGATTGTTCCGCTCCCACCACAGCCCCAGGCACCTCTCCTGGAGCCGTGAGGCCACGTGGCCTTGTCCTGTCCCACGGCACAGGGACGTGTCACCGCTCTGCCACCAGCACTTGCCACCCAGAGCCTTGGCTGCGGGGATGGAGGGAGGGGGAGCGGCCCTGAAATGTCAGCAGCAGATGAAAGGGGTTGGAAAATTTAATCTTCCAACTTCCTCGACTCATGTGGCATTTGGATTGCCTCCCGATAAGCTATCAGCCTGAGAAGTTTCTTTCTTTTGCCTTTTTTCTTTTTTTTTTTTCCCCTTCTCTTTTTTTCTTCCCCCTTCTTCTCTCCTCTGGCTGGTAATTCAAAAAATAAATGGTCTAGAAAGATCTCCAAACAGTACCTTTGGCAAAGATAAAAAAAAAAAAGCAGGGGGCGAGGGGAGGCGGCTGGAGAGGCTGATTGTTATTTATAGCCGTGCTGCTCGGAGCAGAGCGGGGCTGCAGAGCTGCTGCGTTCCAGGAAAGGTTCGGGGCTGGGGGAGGGAGAAGGGCGTTCTGCTGGGCTGGGCTCTCCTTCCGAATGCGGTGAGTGCGTGGTGGGATGGAGGCAGGTGGGGGCACCTGGGGGCACGGAGCCCGCCGGGGCCGCGATGTCACCGAGTGTTTGTCCCTGTGCTGACACGTCCCCAGCCGTCCTTAGCGGCTCGTTCCCATGGAGATGTCGCTCCACGGGGCAGCTCACCAAAGAAAGCCACAGGGACGTGGTCGACCTCCCAGCCGGCTGGTGAGAGCTCCGTGCTGCTGAAGCCGTACTGGGTAACGCTGTTGCATTGCCAAGAACGGTCAAACAAAGTATCCAGATCTGTAGCGTCTCTGTAGCCTGCGTCGGGTGTACAGTAACGTTTGTGAGATGCAGTAGATGCTTCGGAGTTCTTTTGAAATGCTAAGGTGAGAAATGCTGCGCAATCTGGCCAGGGATGCGCAGAGCTGTGCTCGGTGAAAGCGATACGAGCCCCAAATCCTTCCCTCCCATGCTCCAACAGCAGCTCCAGCACCGATTGCATGCAGTGTTTCTGCTCCTGGCCCTACTTACAGTCCCTCTGTGCCCCAGCTGGTCATGATGGCTCCATGAGGCTGCACTGGGAGGCATTGATCCCACGCCAGAGAGCTCCAAGCTAGGCCTGGAGCTGTGTGGGTAAGGGCTGACAGCAGCTGGGTGGCATCAGGTCGCCATGGGGCTGCTCGCTGTACAGGTGTCAGTGATGCATGGGGCCTTCCTGCACCTGCAGTGTTGTGTTTGTCTCTGAAATTGGCGCATGTAGGGGTGCCCAGCCTTTGGGGTGGGTGGTAGAGCAGAATGCACAGCATAATCTGGATTTCCACCCCAGCTAGGGAGGCAGAGCTATCCGTGCCTGCAGCCAGGCTCCTGCAGCCGTAATTGGGTTCAGCATCTTTCGGGAGGCCCTGTGGCCTGCAGCACGCTTACACTGCCGACTCTTGGAATTAAAACCGAACCCTTCACAGCAATCCTGTTACTCTCCCGAGCTGTGGCGAATGGCTTTGCCACTCTCCCAATGTCAGGGCAATGTCACCACCACGTCTCCTCCCTCCCCACACAGGCCCAGCCCTTCTGCCATCCCACGGCTGCAAGCAGCTGGGCTGGGCGCAGGGCACGTCCCCTGCCCAGGGCTCACGGCTGAGCGCTGGCGCTGCGGGGGGAGCACGATCCAGCACCAGCAGTGAGGGATTTGCCATCTCTCCACCATAATTAAATATTGTTTGCATTGCTTATTGACAGAGCGCTGAGCCGCGCTCGGTTTTAATTTGTTCTTTGATAGTTGCCTCTTGCCGCTAATTGATTTTCAAGGATTTTTTTGCCCAGGTGGGATTTTTGTCTGGCTTCAGCCTGGTGGTGCTACCAAAGCCCTAGGGCAGAACTGGGACTGGTGGGTGGGGGCCAGGCAGAGGTACCCAGGGATGTCCCACTGACCCTGCTCCCTTCCCAGGATGATCCCGATGGGGAAGAAATCGAGCGGGAGAAGTCCAACTCCCTGAAGCTGGAGTTCACCGACGATGCCAACTTCAAGACCAAGGTTAACTACTCATATGCTGCCGTGCAGATCCCCACTGACATCTACAAAGGCTGTGAGTGCCCCCACCTGCCTGCCTCCGCGTCCCCCGGGTCCCCACCAGCCGCAGAGTGGCTGTCCCCAGGGCTCACTCTGAGTTCGGGATGCTTTGGGGTGAGGTTATGGAGGGGCATTAAGGGCGGGTGAAATCCCAAGGGAAGGCAGCAGAGGACCATTGTGGAATGATGTGGGGATATTCAGCCCTGCATCAGTGCCCTGCAGAGTGCTCTGGAGAGCACGGTCCTGGGGCTGGGCAAGGTGAGAGCAGTGGGCAGTGAGGTGGCAAGAGGATGGATGGATGGATGGATGGATGGATGGATGGATGGATGGATGGATGGA